GGTGGATTATTATTTTAGTACGCTTGGTTAACAACAATGTATATGCAAGTCTACTATTAAGAGTAACTACAAGTGAAGTCTATTTAAAAAAAAGTTTATTAGACTGCATGTATAAGACATCGTTACAGTTCCAAACTGCAAATAAATTAAAAGGCAAAGACAGCTCAAGTTTCAAAATTCACAAAATTCTTACACATTTTTTTAAGCATCATTAAAAATCCATTGTGTTTTCAAGCTAATGTAGTTCACTTTGAAACTGTATCACTGGATGACAGAAATCTTCCTCGTGTTTCACTGTGGGGGATTAATGTTAACGTAAGTGAACAAGATAAAGATGTCAAACAGCTGAGCGAGATCGTCTCTCCTTATGTTGAGTTTATGACATATTTACGACAGCGTCTCTCACTGCAACGTCTAATTTGGAGGTAAAAAGCACAACGGTTGATGTTTGTAAGCAGTCACGACTTGTAAGAGTACAGACAGTTGCTGTAGGTCCAAAAAAAGATTAGCGTGGGCACATTTACAGGAGGAGAGGCAGATGTGAGGCAGATTAGTCATCAAACAGTACAGAATTTATAAAAAAAAATAAAAATCTATGTACAAGAAATATGCAGGCAGACAAGCTGACAGCACGTAGCTGCTCGTGAGAAATTTAAAACAAGACAGAGATGAGAGGAGCGAGGCAACGGCGAAAGGCAGAGGATAAGCCTGGCTTCAACTGAAGAGGTAGACTGTGGGATAGAGGGACAGTTACAGATATTCTACGGCGAGGAGAGATGAGATTCTTTACAAATAAGCACCACATGTTATTTTTTATCAGAACTGATCATGTTAGGTTTAGGATCAATATCTTCCTTTCCAAAAACAGCACCCAGTAACATGAATGTACAGGTACAGAGAAAGCTGAGGGTCCAGGTGAGGTAGGTTAATCAGGTTTCTAGGATTAGGGACCAAACGGAGCTCCATGAACATGAAACAATATTCATTTCCTTTTGCTCAGAGTAGAAAATAAATGTCAGAGAACATGAAGCACAATGAACATTTCTTTTTCTAATGTTGGACTGTCAGTTGTCTGCACCTCTTTGGGCA